ACCGCTTAAATGCCTTTCCCATTGCCCTATTAGGATCGTTATTTTTTCCTAAAATAAGGGGAAGAATAGACACATGGTTGAGTTATGTGGTTCGAGACTTAGTTCAAAGAGAGGGCGAACCTAGGAGAACCATAGTACCCATGATCCTGACAGATATAATGAGGAGTCTGGCAGCATGTATCGATGGTAGAATGTTTTTTTAGGGATGCAACCTTCTACTGCAATTATGGGATATCGAATACTTCCATAGGCGATCCAATGTGGTAGACATCTTTCTTGGTCAAGACACCAAAATTGATAACCATTCAAGAAGAATGGTAAGTTTCACCGCACCTATAGGATTTGTAGACTGGTAGATATTTTTACAGAGCTTGAGAGCCATCGAATACAATGGAGGCTCTATTGGTTGTCCACGCTTAATGCCATAGTAAGAGGGGAAGACTGATACTTCGTTGAGCTTATTGGCTTACAAAGTGTTCAATTGTACACACCTCTTCGAGTGCTTCACGAATTTGGGCGAACTCAAGTCCTACTCTCCGGTCTGACATGGAGCAATTTAAGTATGAGTTTGGACTAGATAAACCACAAGTCTACAATATACTGCTATGATAGGAGCGAGTGTTAACCATTCCTACGGGTGCATGACATGCTTTATTCACACGTGAGTATTACACATGGATCCTAAAGGAAGTTAAGGACAAAGTTGAGTTGGGCAGGATATTATGGTCTCATGATGAAAGGGAAAACATATAGGCACGCAATGTGTTGAACATCAGAAAAGAAGTCATTCCCAATACAAGAGGTCAATTGGAGCCAAGCTCTTGGAATCGATATCTTCAAGATTTTAGAATTTAGGATGATTTCCCCCCCATGTTATCCCTTTTCCCTCAGTTTGTTTCAGTTTTCGTTTTTTCATTCATGATGTAATGTTCAAATTTTATAATAAATGAAAGTTATTTTATTTCTTCTAATCTACACTCAAATTGGCAATCAAGGCTTGAATAAATTATTTTGCATTACTTACGTGTCGTTTAGGCCTACCTCTGGCTCGATGGGGCTCCTTTGTATTTTAACATTTATCTAAAAATAATGTGCTTGATATCCCATTGATGCAATATTCTAACTTGGACTTTATTTTTCTTTTATTTTTGTTGTACCCTTCCCCAATGATTGATCTGTAGACCATTGTTTACCACACGAGATAAAGGAGGCTCTTCTTTCTTTTTCAGCTGAGAATCACAAAGGAAAGATAAAAGTGACTAATGAGAAAGTTATGCGCAAGACTATTGAAAAGAAGTATCCTTCAGACAAGTTGGTCTTAAGCCTAGAATTGAAAATAAAGAAGTTAGAAGAAGAGGTGTTGGATATGCGTGAGTGGGCTAAGTTATTACTCTCCGTCAGTCCCGCTTCGAAGACAAATATGGATATGTTGCCTATCGCAAGTCAAGCCACTCTCCAAAAGAATCCTACAACTCACCCTACTTCTCATCCTCCTCCAAGTTACCCCACTTCTCAAAATCAACAATCCATTCAAATGTCTTCAAATAACACCCACTTTCCAAATTATCATTATCATGCTCCACGCCCGCAAAACCCTATGCAAGCGCCTCGATATAAAACACCTTCGCACCAAGTTCCTTGGTGTCATGCGCTTCTCATACCATTTACAATCCTTCCATATCAAATGTCTCCGTACTAAAGTCCTCTTCTAACATATCTTTTCCATGATTTCAACGTCATCACTTGACCTCATATTCGTAAAAACATCTTCAAGGTTTAGAAAAAGCCTAATAAAATTTATACTCCTCTGACTGAGCCTATTGGCCAATTCACAGAGGATGGTTGAACACACACTCTAATCAATGAAATAAGGATGAATACGTGTGCATGGTGGATGAACCCTCTAAGGTTTGCGCTTATCATTCAGAAATGGAAGGACATATCATAGAAGAATGTCGTGATCTAAAATACAAGATTCAATAATTGATTGATACTAAGGTCATACTCCTGGAGGACTTTAAAACAAAGAAATTTCAACTGTGAACGTGAGAAAGTTTATTTGAATCAGTTTCCAAGTAAGGCTTGCGCCATTTAAGTTCAAGTTTTCGACATTGAGACACCCATAATAACAAATGGGCAATAAAGTCGGGAAGAATCTATCATCAAGTTGTTGCTCAAGAATGTTCTTTAAGTGTCTTGCTTATGATCTTGTATTTGGAACTACGCCAATCCTGATTCCCGTTTAAGAGGGGATATGTAGGCGCTCCTATGGGGTTCGGTCTTATCATAATAAAATTTTCATTTTCCCCTGTATTGTATAACTGGGGTAGAATTTTAAGAAGGACTCGAAAATTCGCTCAACAAGCGTTTTCTGCAAAAATCAAAACTGGGGAGACTCAAAAATTCCAACTAAAGCATTTCTTTTTATCACAATTCAATAACTGGGGCAATATTTTTGAGAGGGTCTCAAAAAATTCTCTCAAAAAGCGTTTTCTGCAAGAATCAAGAGTTAGGCAAAATTTTTGAGAGGGGTTCAAAAACTCCTTCAAAAACGTATCTTCTCACAAATCAAGATTGGGGAAAAATTTGTAAGAGGATCTCAGAAATTCACAACAGTCAAGTTACAATCTACAAAATTAGAATAACATAAGTTCAATACTAGGGTAGAAATTTTGAGGGGGCCTCAAAATTCTTACAACACTTCGAAGGACATACTTACAAGCGTCAAAAGAGTATACTGTGTCAAATCTGGGATACATATCAACCTCCCCTTTAACTATTTTTTGTTTGAATACAGAAAGTACAGGTACATATACAAGAAGCAATTTCAACATTACTTGAATGATCAATATACAACTATATTATGCCCAAAGATTGCATGTGCCCGAAGTGTATTATGCCAGAATTTTATTCTACTCGAACATCATACGCCCGAATTGCATTGTGTCCGAACTGTGTTGTGCCCGAATTGCATTATGCCCGAATATTACATATGCCCGATATTGCATTGTGCCCAAGAATTGCATTGTGCCCAAATTGCATGCGCCTGCTCGAGATTGCTTGTGCCCGAGAATTGCATGTGCTCGAGAATTGCATGTGCCCGAACCAATTCAAATCAAGTCAACAAGTGTCAACAGATGCCGAATTACATATACGCTTTCTTTACTCATTATTTATGTTCCTAAGGCGTAATGGTCTAAAGGAATCATCTTCCATGGTCTTCATACAACATATCATGGCCTAAGAATTCAATTGTTACATATCATGATCTGAAGGTGTCATAGTCTAAGGGCATCATTTTTTCATGGCCCGCAGACAATAATATATACACTTTTACGTATCATGGCCCTAAATATCATAGCCTAAGACATCATTCTCGTAATCTTAAAGGTAAATTTCATAGTAGATATAGGAAATTGTATTCATCATTTATTTTAACATATCTGCTCTAATCGCTTTATATAGTTGTAATATAAGTTACAGATGTTCAGATTACAGACAAGATCAATTGCCATCTGAACTACCGTTTCCATGCTTCCATATATGTCACAAGAAATGACACTAATAAATTCTTGGCTACTCACATCTCCCGTCCCAATCAAGCTACCGTTCAGACTAGTTTGAAGATGTTTACTTGAATAAACTCGATACTACGACCAACAGATTCTTCATTTAAGCTCGTCCGCCTTACAATGCGACATTTAGGAATCTACATTATAATATGACATCAAGGTTCGTCGAACTTACAATACGACATTTAGGCTTGTCCGCCTTATAATAGGACACCAGGTTCGTCTGCCTTATAATATGACGTTAGGATCGTCTGCCTTACAATATGACATTTAGGATCGTCCACCTTATAATAGGACACCAGGATTGTCTGCTTTACAATATGACGTTAGGATCGTCTACCTTACAATATGACTTTTAGTCTCATCCGCCTTATAATAAGACACTAGGCTCGTCGACCTTACAAAGTGACATTTAGGCTTGTCTGCCTTATAATAGGACGCTTAGTTAGTTTAGAATTTGCAGGTGTGGTCATGCTTTTCTCATTTACCTATCATGATCTTCTCATTACTCTAGTCGTATCCATTCAAGCCGATATCGTGCCTTTTCGAATATCTAACCATTTTTTTTCAATTTTTTGGAGCCTCATCTGTTCTTTAATCTAAAACTACACACGACCTGATTCTTGTATAACTAGAGATATGTAGGCATCTTGGTACCAAAGCCTCAGTCATACCCTTTTTCAAGTCTACATCATTTCAACTGATCCCACTGACATCTCTCGTCGGTTGGATAAAATTGGTTACTAAGTCAATGTTGGTTGCCCGACAATTCATACTTCATTATCCAGCAACCAAGGGGCAGCTGTTGACACCCAATTATGACCAACGTTTAACCATTTTTTAGAAATACTATTCGATTAAATACATATTTTAAAATATATTTCAAATCCAAAAATTTTGTCGATTTTTGTCTAGACATTATATGTTCTAGTATGCTTGCTTTATAAAATTATTGTAAATATTATTGAAATATTTTAAAAATTATTTGTAAAATTCAAAATAATTCAAATGCTCTAAATTCAAGTGATTTTAATTATATAGAATATATTATAATATTGGTATTTTGATTGAATGACATTTCTTTAAGTTTCCTCTGAATCTTTTAAATTGTAGCCTATTTTATTCTAATCCATTGCAAGTCTAGCCTATTCAATTCCAATTTTATTTCAATAGTAACCCCCTTTCATTTCAATTATAGCCAATTTTTATTTCAATTTTGGTCTATCCAATTCAACTCGCAAGACCCATTCATTTAATCTCGTCCGTCGATCCTTTAGTTAAAACTTAAAAGTCTGCCTATTAAATCAATACCGGGATCTAACGAGGAAACCATAGCCCTCTCGAAGGAATCTTTCAGGTTGAATCCTAACCCTTCATCTCATACAAAATCAAAGGTCCTTATTTAAATCTCTAACCTTCCTTTAAACCTAGAAAGACCAGAAAACCTAAACACTTTCATTTATCTTCTTCCTTCCTTTATCTCAACAGATCGGCCACTTCCTCTCTCTCTCTCTCCATGCAGCTGCTACCCCTCCTCTCTCTTTGATCCAGTGAAACATCAAGAAGGCGGAGATGGCCGCCTCTCCCCGTCCCTCTCTTTTCTTCTCCTTATCTCCCTGCAGCAGCGCAAGAACCACCAAGTGTTGGCCGCCTCTGCTTTTGTCCGGTGGATAGCAGCTCGGCAAGAGCAACGAGAAGAAACAACAAGCATTAGGACAAAAGAATAAGTACCAGTGGTGAGAAGCCCACGACGAAGAAGAAGCTCTGGTAAGGGGCGTAAGGCAGCACCGCTCAACTCCTCTCCTCTTCTCCTTGGCTCCGGGGAGGACAACCAACAGCAACAACATCCAAGCGAGGATCACTAGAGTCAACAGCCAGCTAGGAAAGAAACAATAGCTCCAACAAACAAGAATCTCCGGGCGAGAACTTTGAACAAGTGAGGTCCGATGGAAGTTTTGAAATTTTGATTTGGTCAAAAGACGAATTTGTAACAGATCCGTCTAGGTACATTTCTAAAATTATTATCTCATCATTTAGTAATTTTGTTCTTTTTTCATTCAAAATTTAGTTTGAATTTTTTCTGATGTTGTTATGCATGTTCATTGTATTGATAAGGTTATTCAATTATGAATGTGAACTATACTAGTTATGATTTCTCTTGTTCTTGCTGACTTGTTTCGTTAGCTTGATAATACTATTGTTTCATATGATTTAAGACTTTAATAGAGGATAGTATGACTGCTGAAATTGGTAATGAATAATTAACCGATTAAGTGATGCTTCGATTATGCTAATTTGTGAATGTTCTCCCGCACATAATTGATTATTTGAAATAATCAATAAATCTTTCTGATGCTTGAACCATGATTTTGGCTTGCTTTAACGCAATGCAATTTGTTTAAACTAATTTGATTGTTTGCTTAGATTGATGCTATTGCTATAATCGTCTCTTGCCATCTTTGACTTGTCTGTATGGTAAATCATGAAAATTTATATTTGTTTGAGTTGTGAAAATCCACGTCTGTTTGGAATTTGTTATTCTGAATGGAAAGTTTGCTAATTGACTCCCTTCCCTTGGCTTAAATTAGGGCATATTCTTACATGTTTAGTTTATGGTAAACTTTTTCAATTGATAAATAGGGAATTTGGTTGATTTGTTTTACCTTAATTGATTGTTTATACTTGTTTATTTTTTGGTAAAAAAAATTAAAATATTTTTTATTTGGCTTTTCTTTATTTAAGAAAAAATAATATTATTCTTCCTAATTTTATTCTTAATTGTTTATATTTGTTAATAAAATATTTTTAAAAAAATCTAATTTTTCTCTGATCGTTAGTAAGGAAAATAGTATTTGTAATTGATTCCTTAAAATATTTTCCCCCTTAATGTCCCTCTTCTACTATATAAACAAGGCCTCTCACTTTCTCTCATTGCTCATTCACTCTCATCTCTCACCTTGCTCACCCTTGAATAAAAATAAAAAGTATATTGCTCTCTACTCTTGAAAATAAAATAAGAACTCTACCAAACTTTGGATCATTATTCGTGGTATTGGTATTGTTGTGTTGTTGTTTCGGTAGATCGCTCTATAAAACACTCCATTGCTGATAATTATTTCTGCTTGATTGTTTAGTAATTAAATCATATTTTAATTTTCGTTTTGCATCATCAATAATGAATATTGTGTGTTTGAAATAAATAAGTGAAGGATTTGGTTTAGTTCTCTTTTCATTTTGTATGTGACGTATGTGTGTAATGTCATATTCAGTGTTTGCTACTTATTCTAGTAATTTGATGCCTGAGTTAATATGAGGATGTCCTTTTAACACATCTCTATGAAAAATGAATAATGTTAAGTGTCCCTTTTATTTTGTTTGTGTTGTGTTGCTTTGTTTTGTTTAACAGGGATTTCAAACATTGAGTTTAAGTGTTGAAGAGTAACTTGAGAGAGATCTCCGGACAAGTTTATTATTGAAATTTTTGTTAATGTTGTATATATTATTAGTTATTCTTAGGCTTGTAATATTTTATATTACATGTTACTTGTTTATTTTATCATAACTTATAAAGTTAGAAAGCATGCCTATAGGATATAAATATTTTTCAACATGTTTGGGTTTAGAGATCATGCATATCAGTTTAAACTTTATTATATATTAGATAAATATCATGTTTATAGGTCTGACAATAATTTTAGGGAAAAGGGTCTGATATACTCCTCAAGTTTGTCATTTGGAGCTGATATACCCCTCGTTATAAAAGTGTCTCATATATGCCCTTACCGTTGTACAAACGGCTCACATATACCCATGTCGTTATGAAATGGCTCACATATACCCTTCATTTAATGGAAGTTAAAAAAATAGTTTTAAATTTATATTTATTACTTCTAATTTTCTTAAAAAATTATTTAGGGGTATATATGATTCTTCTATCAAAGTTCAAGGTATCTTTTAATTTTTTTCATACATAAATTATTTTTTGACTTCTTTTATTATAATTATTTGAATTTCTTATTCTTATTTTGTTTTTTTCTTTCATTCCTTAGTTTAAAGAATAAAAAATTAAACTATTATTTTTGTGTGTATTGTAATTTAATTTCGTATTCGAATAAAATATTTGGTCATCTACAATAAGCTTTACAAGAATATTAGTGAAACATAAATAAATTTGATTATCAAAATAATAATTATAAGTTAGTCATTGAAACAAAAAAAAGTCAAAAAAATATGTTTGACGAGGACTAAATTTACTCATATGGGATTATATTTTTTAGAAAAAAAATAATAAAAATTTAGATTAAAATTATTATTTTTTTCATTTTCGTTAGAGGAAAAGGGTATATGTGAGCCATTTGTTTACAAGTAGGGGTATATATGAGTCACTTTCATAACAAGGGTATATCAACTCTAAATGACAAAGTTGAGGGGTACATCAAACCCCTTTCCCATAATTTTAACATGTTTACACTTAGAAAATACGCCAATAGGGCTAAATAAATAAAAATTAATTTCCCGTGTGCTTATAATATGAGTAAAAATCAATCTTATGCCTGATTGCTTTCTGTTTTATTATTATTTAATAAATAAAATTAGCGTAGTAATCATTTTCCGACTAAAAATTTGTGTTGAATTGAAATGTTTCTGCATTGTAATAATTTTCTGCCACTTAAAGAATAAGTTACTAACTTTCCAGCATGATTAATTTGCTTAAAACCAATTTGCCAATTAAATTTGTCCAAAATAGTTACTCTCTACATTATAAATATTTGTTTCTCCACCTAAAAAAATTTTCTGCATTAATAGTAAATATATTATTATTCTAAAAATAATTTTCTATATTAATAATAAATTTGTTACTGTTTTAAAAAATAATTTTCTGCATTAATAATAGATCTGCACCAAAAACAGTTTTTGTGGATCTGCAAATATTTTCTGCATCAGTTAGTAATTATATATTGCATGCTACTTTAAAACAGACTCTACATAGTAGTCTAATCTACTATTGCATGAACATGCTATTTTCTGCATAATCTCTCTTTTTTTTTGCTATCCTAATAAATTTTGTTTGAATATTGGTTTCATCATTATGAATAATGTCTTACAGCTTCTAATCAATTAAATAAAATAAATATTTCTTGCATGCTTCATTAATAAGATAAATGAAATCTGCATTCATGTCATAATTCTTTGCCCTCTCATAATTAAATTAATTTGTTATTATAATTTTTGTATATTTGTATGCACACACTTCGAATGATCTTTTTCACTAATTGCTTGTGTTTGCCAGCATGTTTATTAAAATATACAGGTCAGGTTGAGACTTAACATTATAAATGAGCGTCTTGTTTGGCTTGGTTGTTTGACTTGGTGACTAGGTGGGCCTTTAGAAACATATATTTTATTTTTTTCTAAAACCACCCTATTAGTAGTCCAATGCCTCTTGGACCTTAAGCGGGGACGATAGACACCTTTTAGGACGAAATGTATGCGGTGATGGGATAGGGGTAGCTGGCTTTATAGATATGTTGACATCGACTCGGTCTAAATGATAAACATTGGTTTTGTCTGTCCCTATACAAAAGTTGACCAAATTAAAAAATTAAAAGTCAAGTGTTAATCCAAAAAGTATCTCAGAGTTTCCCTTTCCCTTTGTCCCTTTATTTGCTTTAATTATATTTATTTGGGGTACCTTAAGTAAAATATTAAAATTGTTTGCTTATCTATTTTTCTATTTTCTGTTTCCTCGCTTGTCTTTTGTTTTAATTGATTAGTATTTATTATTTTAATCACCTAGTCTCACATGCTTATAATTAATTGAAATAACAATGTCATATAATTGCTTAATCTTTAGTATATTATCACATAGTCTTGCATGTTAAATTAAATAAACTAGCCTAAACTATTTAATATTATGTTACCACCTAGTTTCCCATGTTTATCAAATAAACAATAAATGAAGTGACCTTACTTATAACCCCACATAAATAGTCTGAGATACGGCTCTCGTGGGATGCCTAAAACCTTCCCCTCGAGGTAACTTGAACCCTTACCTTGATGTCTAGCTCGTTGACCTTAGTTAGATATAGTTAGGTTAGATAGATGCCCTAATGGACCTTAATTCTTTAGGTGACAACTCTTCAAAACTCCAAATCCCAAAAAGAATTGTTAGGTCGCACATCAAAATCTGTTTTTGCGAAAAAATGAGGCGAGACAACACCATTTATATGGGTCTTTTATATTGGTAAGCAACTGAAAGCATTTCGTAAAAATAATTCCACCTTATTTTAATATGTTTTGAAATTTTTCTTTGTGTCAATTTACATAGTAAACAACACTCATTAAATTCACTAATTCTAGTAGTTTTATTAACATAAAAAATTCAGACAACAACATATTCAATTTTCATGCAACCACAATCAAATAATGAAATACCATCTTGTACAACTAAATTTAATACCTGTGCAACACATCTAACATTAAAAGCTTTACCATCAATTCAACATAATCTAACTTTTAACATACTAGCAGCGTTTGTATTATTAGATACATTAGCTAATGCGACAAACATTACTTTATCTATAAGTATGTAATAATCTAAAATACTCAAAATATTTGAAGCTAAATATGCACCCAGTTTTGTCTCTACACATTCTTTATAACTTAAGAATCGTTTTTGCAAATTCCAATTATGACCAATCTAATGTGCTGTAATAGTTAAATAATCATGTTCATTAACACTACGACACATGTCCAAAGTTATAGACGCTCTACAATCTAGTATGCTAAACAAACAACGAAGATATTGACAATGTTTACATTGATATACAAAAACATCAAATTTAATAGTATTTCTTGCAAAATCTCTAAAATCAGGATTATAATTTTGTTGAATATATTCAATAAAATCGAGATTTAAAGAAAAACTATAAGGCAAACTACAAACATAAATCATTTTAGCTAAATTTTCATAGTATCTTTTCTTATTATATTTACGTTTTGTTAGTGGGCCACCGGGGTTAGAAGGATCTAATGTTCCTTGAACCATGTTAGAAGCCCCTACCGATTCAATAATACTAATATCACAACCATTAACTAGAATTTCTTTTTTTCTAACAGCTAATGCTTTAGCTTCTTTATATTGAATCGACATACAAGATAAAAAATATCTATTTTAGCCCCCCATTAGGGCTAGGCATAAACACCAGAAAACTAAAACACCGAACCCAATCAAACATAATTTTTTTGGCATTTTGGTTTTCGATTCAGTATTCAGTATATATTTTTGTACTTTTCGATATTTCGGTTCGATTTTTGATATGTGTTTTGTGTTATTCGGTATTTCGATTTACCAAAATATATTATATCATAATACATTTTTATATTATATTGATTATTAATGTTAAATAATAAATATTATAATAAAAAATAAAAAATTAAAAAGTAAAATACACTTCTTTGATGTCACTATTTTTAGCCCATTAAACTGAAAAATCAAACAAAAAAATTATAAATTTTAAAATTTTAAAAATCCCACTAAACAGGCCTATTAAAAAAACCGAAATAACAAAACTGAACCAAAATAATATAAATCGAACCGAATAATAAAGACCAAACCGAATTATTTCGATTTGGTGTTCGATGCACGTTGTACAAGAATCGAAAAACAGAAAAAAACCGAAATCAAATCGAATTACCGAATGTTCACCCCTACCTCGTGTCCCACCTTGTCTATGTTTAAAAGGTTGCTTACACTTATTACAAATAGCAACATTGTTTTCTTTACCGAAAGTCATAAATTGTCATACAATTGAAGATTTAGGGTGTTGATACTTCACCTTATCCCTTGTGGAAGGTATAATGGGTGGAGTCCACAATTTTTCTCCGTTAAATTTGTAGTTTCATTTGAACTTGTGTCATCGGACTAGTAGGCGTATCTTCTAATTCCTCTTCTCCAAATCAACTTCTACTGCTTTACCTGATTTTTCATCAAGATTGAGATTAATATTAGCATAACGTCGTTCTAAACTTTCATGATCGAGTTAAAAATTTGAATCAATATCATAAGAAGTGTCATCACCATAAGTAGAATCATTTATATTAAATCAAACTCTAGACATTGATTTAGAAGAAGTACCACCATATTTACTCTTATTTTTTTCTTACTACTTTTTTTTTTCAAAATTAAATATTTCAAAAATGGCACCTTGTTCTTTCTCTTTCCCTTTACCAGTATTTTCTTGCTAAAAACTCATATTTAATTATATATAAAGTTTAATATAAAAATAATTATAACAAAAAAATTAAAGATGAAAAATAAAATATAAATATTATGAAATGAATGTACCAAACATCTGCGTTAATAGCAGACATTAAATCGGTTCTTGAAACTTGTAGTTTGTTGTTATTTAAAACTCCGGTACTTGATTCCAAATATGAGATTTATATATATTATGATATAGAATATACGTATTAAAATAATATGAGACTTAAATGGAATAAAAATTAAAACTTAAGAATTAAGATTGAGACTTGAAATGATATAGAAAATAGATGAGATAGATGATTTTGTAAGAAATAA